GTAAGTGTCACCGCATTGACATGGTATAAACACCTTTATTGTCTAGCGGGTTAGTTTGCTTTCTTTTAGCAATTTACTTATGTTGAAAACCCTGACTCAACAAAAATACACTAAATTAAAAAGAAACTAACAAACTTCAATATACACAAACCCATCAACACCCAACGCACAACAGTTCGGTTCCCGATTACTCATCGTCAACAAGACAAGAGGATCTTTAACGTCCGCACCTAGCCTATTCGGCCTTATCGGACGTTTTGATTCTCAAGATGAGAGCTGACGCACTTCTGCATACGACGGAAAAGTGTTACCGCCGCAGCGTTGGTGTAGTGGTGTCCCGGCCCCTAAGGGTCAGTAGCCACGCTCTCCGCTTGTCCACTCCGAATGGTCGGGCCCGCATTGTGCGTCGGGTCGTACGCCGCACGCGAGGGGCTAACGGGCCGAAATACATCAGCCCGTCCCCCCCCGCGTACTCCCTAGATAGAGAAGGCGACTCTATCTCTCTGAGTGTAGAGGCTCCTCCAGCGTAGAAACTTTCCGGAACGCCCCGACAGCGGTTTCGGATTATAAAGTGGGATTGCTACCCACCCCCTAGATGAGCACTGTCTACGGACAAAGGTCTCTTATCGAGCTCAGCCTACACCTGCTGCACGTAATCGAGGGACGCCATAGGTCTAGCCCAGGTGGTCCGATCCTTCGCTTCCCCAAGGGTACCACGCCGGTCATACGCACAACAATGCAAAGCATACTCGAGTCAAAGACCGCCGATTGCACTACCCTTTTCCAATCGCTTACTCACGCACCCAGGGACTGTAGCATGATCATGACGTCCTCAACGCTTACATGCTGTCGTCCGGTCGCAACGTCTCCCGTGAGGAACGGGGGGTAATACGCTGGCCATGCGCAAGCTTCACGAAAGGTCCCAGGTAGAAGACAGCCTCTGTCTAAGTTCCCGCCAGGGGCGTCACCACAAGCCACCACGAATTCGTTCCCAATGTGACAGAGGGCCGGATTCTGGAACATTTCTGTCACCCCGTGGTACAGATGGCCATACAACCCTCCACCGTCTTTGCAGACAGGATCTGGTGCACTGGCCCTCGTGTGACTCTGCTAAGGCACCCGACGTCCCTGCCGACCCTGAGGCCGACATAAGACAGCTTGTGCTTTAGAGAGGTTGCCACGCCCTCAAGGCTACACCATTATTTTGTGCCCGGATACCCCCCTTGTAACCAAGGGTTAGGAGGGGTCACAGGATAGAATGAAGGAATTCGGATTGAGAAAAAGGGCCGTGGAAGAGAACACGAGGTGAGCCGTTTCGGGGTCTCAAGTCTCAACCACATTATACCACCCGTCGTCGCCGTGGTTCCACATAGAGTGGGCCATGACTCCCAGGGTGGGTGACCCAACGCACAACAGACAACACTTTCATAAACCTCACACAAAAAAAATTCAACACTAATGAAAAAGACTGAAAAACAAGCCATAATTGACACAAAAACAGCCATTGGACTCCTACGTACGGACATACAAAAACGAACGAGACACATCGCAGCCACCGTAATAGACAAAACAATCTCACAACTTTCTCTACTACAAACTAACTCAAAAGAAAAATACTGAAAAAACTAACTAACAGCGACCACATTACAAAAATATTACAATTTATACAAATCCAAAATCAAACAAAGAGCAACAGAGACCGTACACAAAAATAGCAAAAACACGTTAAAATAAAACAGTAGACGACTGCCTCGTAATCACTAATCCCAAAGAAACATACAAATACATCCATATGAATCCTAAGCCTCCAAGTGTTACCTCACTCCCAAAAATTCACAAACTTAACATTCCCATCAGACCATAGTCAACTGTAGACCAGCCCTTATATACAAACTAGCAAAGTTCGTTGCAAATATCGTAATATCCAATTTAACATTGAAAACACATTCTCCATCAAAAACACAATAGATCTAGTAGAAAAACTAAATAACTTAACAAAACTGCCAACTGACAAACTTGTCTCCTTTAATATAACAAACCTATATCCTTCCATCCCAGTCAGACTGACCATCGACATGCTTATAAACACACTACAAAAAAAACTGCAACAAAGAATACGCGAAACAACGGACACAACTTACAAAAATAACCACTGAACAAGAATACTTCAAATTCAACAACGACATATACACCCCAAAAGACGGAGGGGAACCCAACATCGGCCATTCTTGCAGTGATGTTTCTCCCAAATCTTGAAGAGAACCACTTCCCAAAAATAATGGCTAAAAACGGAATACTCCATCTATTTAAATACGTTGACGATATACACTAGACATAAAAAATAACTCCTCCCCAGAAAACGCACGCATTGTGCAAAGATTCCGTTGTTACTCGGTTGAGGTATTAATTCAATAGAATGTCCGCAGTGGCTGAAAGAATTTTACCAGTCTAGCTTCTACATGACAGATTTTACACTGGAACATAGCGAATATAGTGAAATAATATGAGAATACTGGTGAACTGAACCTATGGATCACTAATCTGGTGGAACAAAGCTCAACAAAAAGTAGCTACCCAAGCATTAGGCAGCATACAAAGATTAGCAAACCTCCAAAACAAACGAAGGAACCGGATCAGGCATTTTCTGTACAAGACCAAAATATGAGCAATCAAACTCTTAAGGGAAGAATACTTCGGTCTTTTAAGCGGAAATACATGCCATCAATGCTTGTGCCCTGGAAAATCTTCGAAGAGGTTACACTGACAAAAAAATCCTCATATGATCAGACTGCCAATCAGCCATTAAAGCATTAGCATGTAAAAGAATTACATCAAAACTAGTCAGTGAATGCATCCAAAATCTCCAAAACCTGGGAAAACACAACAACCTGATGATATCTTGGGTGCCGGGCACAGGGGAATTTTGGGTAACGAGAAAGCAGACAAACTGGCCAGAGGAGGATCTGCAAGACCATACATAGGCCCCGAACCTATACTTGGAATAACAAAAACAAACATAGAATCCTCCATCGCAGAATGGATCCAAGCAAAACAAAAAGAGAAGTGGATAAACTCTAGCGGTGCTAGACATAGTAAACTTATGATGAAACAACCCTCACCAAGATTGGCAAAAACACTGCTGCAATTGGAGAGGGCAAAACTCAGAGGAGTGGTAGGACTACTAACCGGTCACTGGTATATAAGAAAACATCTACACAACATGGGTATATACAGCGATGACCCCATTTGCAGATTATGTAATGAGGAGGAGGAAACAGCCACTCATATCATCTTCGAATGCGAAGCAACAGCTCAATGGAGGTTTAACCTAACGTACGGAAAAGGCTTAGGGAATCAAATTGCAGCAACAACAGACAATGACTTGATACTTCTGAGAAGAAGGATTGAGCCTATTAACTGCACTAAGGAACTAGCAAGGTACAATAACCCAGAAGGCTGCAATGCCTGGGGAATACAAACCCCGCTTCCTAGAACCCTTTCCAACATACCATACTGGTGAACTGCATTTCACATAGAAATAATCTTTTTTCTTTTAATTAACAAATATCCATTAAGATGACGAAATTGATATTCACATATTCATATTCCCTTTTACTGTATGTATATTAAACCAATTAGAAATAAGAAAAAATTATAATGCCATATACGTAAATCTAGTATTATTAGCAAACAAAATTAATGATATCTAAAACTCTAGAATTTGGTAAACTTAAAACATTACATCCTACAATCCTTACGTATGTTGATCTTGAATCATTGAAAAATACAAGAAATATTCGTTTGAATACTTATATAAGCTAAATGTAAAAATGAAACCATTGGAACCATTGGAAGATGTTGCCTCGACATTTTCAACAATTTATGTTTATATTGTAATATGTATGGGCATTCTGTCAATACTCTTTACGTTTGTTTGTTTTCGCCGTCTCCATAAAGAAGACAACCTAGTTCCACGAGAGGCACAACTAACTCATAAAGAATCGCCTCATCAGGAAGTGGCGACTCAGCCGACACCTGCGTCTGTTTTTACAGGACTGCCTTTTTTCTCGCAAGAGCTTGGGAACTTACGGAAGGAGGAGTTATGGAGTAACCAGTTGCCCATCAGACCGACACGTCAGCAGTCCAGCTAATCCAGTCGCCCGCCTTAATCGGCATTTCTTTAAAATAGAATAAATCCCTAAATATCCTTGCCTTACTCGTGCGATAGCCTTTTCCCCGTCTGTCGGTTTAAACTTAAACATCGTACAGTTTTGACAATAAAGTTTCTTTTTTTTAAGTTTTCTTCGAGTGATTACTTAACTTCCATAACAGGTACAACGTGGAGTTTATATGAATTTTTGTACTATTTATAGAATTTTCGGTATAGAAATCATATTAATCTGCAATACTTTATGCTCCTTCTTCTTATTCCGTTATATTATGTTGTGTTATCAATTGATTTTTCAGGAAAATACATTTATTATTCTCAACAGTATCTTTGCGTTATCATTCATAAACCCATGATTAGCTTGATACATGTTTTTTAAATTTAATTTACTTTTCATAAGGCGTGTGATAAAATGTTATACAGCAACGGGGGTAAAAATAAATCGTGTGTTTATGTCCCGGAAAAATAATCCTAAAGATGTATTGTCGGATGCGTTTACATCTCGGGAAAATAAGTATGTACTAGATTTTTTTTTATTTTGGACCTCGATGCATTATATTAATCCTATATGAGAAAGAGACGAGTTTAATAAAGAAATATCGCGTGTTTATGTTTTGGAGAAATAAATACTACACCTTGTTGGATTTTGTACCTCGAATGGAAAGAACGTTGATTGAAAGATATTATCTGCAAGAGGGTAAAGAAACATCGTCTGTTTCTGTTGTAAGAAAATAAGTACAAGTGGTATGACCTTAGAACTCCAAGGATTATAGTAATCATATACAAGGAATTGAAGAGTTTATTAAAAAAAATATCGACCTCGACGGAGAGAAACATTGATTAAAAGGGATTATCTCAATATATGTCGCACGTATTCTTTCTGTTAAGTCTCGTACGGACTGACTAAGGTAAACTCGGATATAAATTGACAAACAAAAGACTTAGACTTTATTGGTTTTAGGCCGATGTCGAGCGCTCACATAAGACAAGACACACCTTGCTCAAAACGTCCAGCGACTCGACTTAGCACAATGATCATCCGGTGGAGCACACTTTCCTCAGTTCAGCTTGCATCTGAGGACAACAAATCCAGCAAGGTAAGAGGAAATATTTTATTTTTGGTTACTTAATTTCCTATGTAAATTATTATAGATGGACTGTATGCACCTTGGGCGGGCTCTCAGCGCTAGAATTAGAAAAATTTCCGATTTTAAAGTTACGAGCTGAAGGGATTGGCCAAAACTAAATACGGAAATGTTCATGTGGCCGACCTGGACTACCAAGGAGCTACAATGAGAAACTTCAGAGTTTCTTCAAGTAATATACTTGACCGTATCTCAGATTTTCGTGTCATACCACAAGGTTTTTCGGATCATCTTCCTATCTCTTTCTCTTTATCTGCAGGAGTCCTGTCTGAACCATATTCAGGTTTGCCTTTCTTCCTCAACTTAGATGGATTGAAATTTACTCAGAGAACTATAAACGAAAAGTTATTTTCCTTTCAATAGAACTTCCTACCCCCTCTCCCCACAGCCCTGAGGGTTTTCTCTCAGGATCTCCTTCTTGGGGTCTCGCTGTCCGATTCTGTTCGCCCTGTTCCTTGACGACCTTCCATCCGTTTTTGATTATGGTGTGAGAATAGGCGATGTTGCAATAAAAATTCTACTTTCTGCGGACGACATAGTTAGTTATAATGGCTGACTCCACGCATGGTCTATAAAAAAAATATAAAGCTATTGGAGGCTTTTTGTTACCTGGAATTTAACGGTGAACCTCAAAAAGTCTACGGTTATGGTGTTCAGAAGAGGTGGTAGACATAAGTCTTCGTACCGTTGGTATTATAAAGGGAAATAATAGAGGTGGTTAATGAGTATAAATATCTTGGTGTTCTTCTCTCCCCCAGATTGCACTTGACGAATCATTTGCAGAAAAAAGTATCATTTACAATGTGTGGTGATTAGTGACCGTTAATCGATAATTATTCATAAATCGTGAGATGCGGTCTGGTGTGATGTAGGTTTAAGAAAAAAACATTTTCTTTATCGTGCTACGTTTCGATCATTATTGAGATCATCTTCAGGGCCTGGGATTTACAAACATTGTTTACTTATAACAATTACATTTCGGATGTGGAAAAGTGAATTTATAAAATGCAAAATATATATTTTTATATATTCAATCAAAGTATTTCTACTCACTCAAAGTGTCTTCTGTGTAATTGTGCCATTCTTGCGTGTCGTGTCGAGAGTGCCAGTGAGATTTTGCTATTGCTCTTCAGTGTGCCGTTCGATTGATTCTATGTTGCAGTTGCAAGGTATGGGGCTAGCAACAATTTGATTTAATAAAAAAAGTTCTACGGCATTTTGTCCGTAAATTATTTGCATTACCAATTCGAAACCCAAATTACATGGTTTACTTAGAAACATCGCCAGACCCATTATATATACACACCTTACAGCTTCACTTCTCATTCATTCTTAAAAGTTTACATCTTTCAGATATCAACATCTTTCAGATTTCATGCTTGTAAAAATAACAGCGTTAGAAATCATACGGTCGAAGACTTCCTGGTTCTATCTATTCCATAAATTCTCCCTAACCACCCCAACCTTTGATAACCTTGATAAATTGCCAGATCTCCTTTCAGCTTTGTTATCAGCAATAAAAGAGCATCATGGAACTGAATGCATACGCCGTGCTCAATCCTCAGATAATTTCCTGCTGTTTAAAGACCTATTGCATTCATGTAGTACTTTGCCAAACTGTCAACTCAAATCAAATCTACTTATGCATTTTTACTTGTTAGTGAACCTTGTGTGTTAGTGCTCATCTTTTTTATTCCAAATTCTTATTCCTTTTTTATTGTCACTTTATTTTCCCTTTTTTTATTTATTATTTTATACTCCAGTTCTAATCCCTCTATTCCTTTTTTTACTTCGGCATTAGAAAATCTATTTGAGTTCCCGTTCGCCTTGCATGACGACGGCAACGCCTTGCTTCAGTTTTCCAATTCCATGTCCACCCCAGTTCATTATGTCTCAAGTTGTGAAAACTAACTACCTCCACAGGTATATATTGGGTTGTCCGGAAAATAATGCAGGATTTTGGTATTAAACAAAAAAAAAGAAACTAGTTACTTTAAAGCAATGTTCTTTAATCAAAATAATTTCCCATACTCTCAATACATTTCTCCCAACGTGTTGGTAACTTATTAATTCCGTCTGAGTAGAATTCAGAATTTTTAGAATTGATAAAGTCAATAAATGCATTTTCCAGTTCCGTTTGATTTTTGAATATTATGTGTTGTAAGTAGTGGTCCAGGTGTCTAAAAAAATGGTAGTCAGTAGGCGAGAGGTCCGGAGAGTAGGGTGGGTGAGGCAAAGTTTCATAGCCAAGCTCCAATAATTTTTGTGACGTTACACGTGACACATGTGGTCGAGCGTTGTCATGCAACAAAATGGGCCCTTTCCGATTGACCAAAGAGGGCTTCATTACTGCCAATTTCTGATGCATGGTATTAATTTGGTTACAGTATGATTCAGCATTGATGGTTTCGCCAGGATTTAAGAAGCTGTAGTGTATTAAACCAAATGAAGCCCACCATACCGTAACCATTACCTTTTTTTGATGAGTTGGGGGCTTTGGAAAATGTATTGGAGCTTCTCCTTTGTCGAGCCACTGTCCAGAATCCACTTTTCGTCACATGTAACAATTCTGGCCAGAAATGGGTCATTTTTGTTTCGACAAAGAAGTGATGCACAAACATCAAAGCGCTGATTTTTTTGGCGATCGTTTAATGAGTGTGGAACCCAATTTTCGAGTTTTTTCACTTTTCCAATCGCCTTGAGGTGGTCAGCGACGGTCGTTTTACTGACTTTGAGTTGCTCTGCAAGTTCTCGAACAGTTGTTTTGGGGTTTTCTTCCACCACTGATCGCAGAACATCATCATTAAGAGAGGAAGGCCTTCCACGACCTTCTTCATCTTCAAGGCTGAAATCTCCCTCCCGAAATTTTTTAAACCACCTTTGCACAGTGCACTCATTAACACAACCCTCGCCCCAGACTTGGTTAATGTTTCTAGCCGTTTGGGCTCCGCTTCGGCCGAGTTTAAACTCGTAAAAGAAAATCGTACGAAATTCTCGCTTTGACATTATAAGGATGACTGAATTATTTCCAAGTAGCGGAATGCTACAGAGGTAAACAAACAATATCATTTGGAAGAGGATTAATAAGTGTTGACATTCATACAAATGAGTAATCCTGTAAACGTAAACAGAATATTTTATATAGATTTTTTTTAATGAAAACTTAAAATCCTGCATTATTTTCCGGACAACCCAATATAAGAGCTAGCTATGTATTTAACATTAATTAAGAACTCTCCTTCATAAAAAAAATCGCCACAAAACCTAAGTGGATGTGAAAATCTTCATGCTCAAAGATTTTCTTAAAAAAAAATTAATGAGCACTAATCTCAGCTTTAGCGATTCGCAACCCCAAATTATTATTGGCGAATGATGACTGGAAAGTCATCAAAGAAGCCATAGAGCTTCTGCAAATCTTCTTGGAAGACACAGAGGAAGTTCCTTCAGAAAAAATATATCATTTTCCAAAACCGCTGTTTTAGCTCGGAGGATGGCAAGGTGTACAAGGCACAGATTGAGCATACAAGGCTTAAGCGAATCAGTTAAACTGTTAGTGGACAATTTACTCGAATCGTCAAGTCATCGATTTGGGAACTGGGAAAGAAATGATGTAATAAATCAATCAATCTTTCTTGACCCCTGGTTCAAAAAATAAGGATTTGGGGAAGAATCCCAGTTTGTGTACACAAAGAAGCTGATAGTTAAAAAAATACAAACTGTTATACGAGCTGAGCCATGTCTCTAGCTGAAATCTCATTTAATCAGCCAAACACATCAAATTCCAAAATTTGGCAAGAATTTAATGAGATAGTTTGCATTATGAGGACGGTAAGGTCCAAAAGCTTCTGCTTTTGTCCAATTTGATAATTATATAGCAGAACCTCTAGACCGACGCACTGAAACTATGGTTTGGCGAAATGATAGGAAAAGTATATTTCCTAATTTGTACAATCTAGCGTTGAAAAGATTGTGCATTCCTGCAACCTCTGTTCCCTGAGACAGGATTTTCTATAAGGGGGTCAGATATGTACTCAAAAATGATCCCGTCTGTCTTCATCAGAAATTGCGCAAGTGTTATTTATCAATCAAAATAGAGATATATTTTAGGGTGAATAATGCTAAAATCACTAAAGGTACATAAGTTGTTGTACTAATTAGATTAGAACAGGTACATTTCATAAGTTTAGAATTAAAGTTAGATTATGTACAGAGTACATTTAGCAGTTATACACGTATACAGATATACATTAAGGGTGATTGTGGAATATTGAGTTCTCTACCACCCTAACTGAATGAAGGGTGTAAGTACGTAAGGTTTGTAAATAGAAATGATTGTATTTAAGATTGAATGATACTGATTGCATCATGCACTGCCAACAGCTATTTCGTTTCAGCTGAAAAGACCTAGCTGTTGGCAGTGCATGGAGCCTAACCCCTATATCTGGGGTAGGTGATTCTCAGGACCAATAGGCAATATGTTCTGAAACTGGAACTGTCAGAATGTCGGTGGACTCTGAGAAGTGATAGGCCCAACTATGCTCATGTGGATAATGTGCACACCTGTGGATTTGTGCCTATATACATCAGCAATCAGTTAATAAATCATTTTTAATATCTTACTTTTCATTAATTTTTATAACAAGACTGTAAAAATGATTGGTTGACTAAAGAAGACTGAAGTAAGATACATAAGTAATATTTCATTAATAATATGTATCAGTAAAGATATGTGATTTTTATTGAGTTTTATTTTTTAAATAATATTTATTATTCTTTATTTCCAAGAAATATGTAAAGAACTATCAATAAATTACACTGAGTACAAAAAAAGTTTTCATTAGTATTATTATCATCATTACTTTTCTCTCTAAAAATACAATGATTCGATACAATTTATATACTTAATATCAATACTGTGTTATATTTTTCGTTATGGCAAATGAATGCTAGAATAAAAAATCAATTTGAATTTTTGCGGGAAATTTGGATGAAGGGAGGAACCAATAAATAAACAGCTCTTGCAATTGATTGAATCGTTGGGAATCGATTCACTTAAAAGAATCGTTCTTTCCATCACTTACTTTCCTTCATTAAATACTATAATCATAAAAAAGTTAATAATCTGGACGAAAAACTAACTACTTTTCTGTGTATTTATTTCTGTTCTTTTTATGTTCTACATTAATGCATGTATATCCAGAGTTTTATGTTTAATTTTCAATTTACAACGATCTCCGATGACAGACGGATTTAATTCCATGTTTTATATACTTTCATTAATATGTTTCATGATGTGCACAAAATTGTAAAATAAAGTATTTCTATCAATCTATTTTCAATCAGAGTTTTTCTCCGGATACGTTATTCACCGATGAAGTATAACGTTATTCAGCGAAAAAGATCACTTGGGTACAGAGGACGAAATGAAATTTTTTGAATGTAACTTAATATAATAAAAAATTGTATAAAATATTTGTTTTATTTAAATAAGTGACAAGAGAGGTAATATTAATAAGAAGTAAAATAGAATGTTTTTAAATGTAACTTAATATAACAAAAAAATGTATAAAGTTTTTGATTTATTTCACCTAATGTTTTATTTAAATAAGTGATAAGAGTGGTAATATTGTTAAGATTATTTCGTAAAAATGGTGGGGAAAGGTGTCGGTTGAAGGTGGGGTCAGGTGGATTTGGGTTTGCTGTCAGATCCCATGATGGTAGAGGTGTGAGGGGATGTGGAGGTTGAACCGCTTTAAACGACCTGTAGGTAATTGTGGATTGTTACGGTTGAATCGTAGAAGG